GCGGTGTTTCCCCCCCCCCCTGTCTGTCGCATCCCGCTGCCCACCCTCTCTGCCCCCCGCAGGAACGCGAGCTGCTATTTCGACATCGAGTGGTGCGACAAGCGCATCACCCTGAAAGCTGCCAATGGCAAGTACGTGACGGCCAAGAAGAATGGGCAGCTGGCGGCCTCCATGGAGACAGCAGGTAAGGGACCCCCCCCTTAGGGACCCCCGCCCCATGCTGGGGCAGCAGGGGACAAACAAAGTGCCCCCCTGCTCCGAGCCGAGCCAGGCTTCTCTTCCAAGTGATGCTCAGGGCTGCAGGCAATAAGTTTTCTTAATTTCATGTGCTGTGAGGTGGGAGGGGGACAGATGGGGTGGGTGAGAAATGGGTGGGGGCCACAGCCCACCCTCCTCAGAGCTGCCTGCCAGCCGTGGGGTCTGGGCTCTGTGACACTCCCACCCCCCCCGAGGCCGCTCTCACAGCCCCTCTCCCCTCTGGCGCAGGCGAGACGGAGCATTTCGTGATGAAGCTGATCAACAGGCCCATCATCGTCCTCCGCGGCGAGCACGGCTTCATCGGGTGCCGGAAGGTGACCGGCACCCTGGACTCCAACCGCTCCTCCTACGACGTCTTCCAGCTGGAGTTCAACGACGGGGCCTACAACATCAAGGGTGAGTCCCCGGGGGTGGGCACGGGCTGGGGTGATGGGCGTTGGGGTCCCCATGGTGGCTCACGGGGCCACCTCGTCCCCTCTCCCTCTGCCTGCAGATGCCACTGGGAAGTACTGGATGGTGGGGAGCGAGTCGTCCGTCACCAGCAGCAGCGACACCCCCGTGGACTTCTTTTTTGAGTTCTGCGACTATAACAAAGTGGCTATCAAAATCAATGGCAAATACCTGAAGGGCGACCATGCCGGGGTCCTCAAGGCATCCGCCGACGCCATTGACGCCTCCACCCTCTGGGAATATTAATGCACTTTAGCGTACCTCCCGTTGCCAGCTTCTCTTTCCCCTCCTCCGTCCTTTTTTCTTTTGGGTTCTGTTTCTCCTCTCTGTAAAAGGATTTTCAGACTGGCTTGCCCTTCTCTCCCGCTGTAGAGTCGGTGCGTTATGTGGGAGGTGGGTCTTCATAAATCTCTGTAAGAACTG